GACATACCCGTATGCTACTCTCCCCTCCCAAGGTGATATTAAGGTACTCTGTATACTGACCAGATTGATCACAGCATACCATATCTTATTATACTATCAAAATGGCGTCGCGCACACCTCTCCGTCCCGGAGTCTATGCTCCCACCATGACCTTCTTCAACCCCGACACTGAAGACCTCGATGTCCCAACTATCCGCCGCCATGCCGTCCGCCTGGCCAAGGCCGGTCTGGTCGGCCTGGTTACCATGGGTTCCAACGGTGAAGCCGTACACTTGACCCGCGAAGAGCGCAAGACAGTTATCCGCGAGACACGCTCCGCCCTGGTCGAGGCCGGGTTCGCCAACGTCCCCGTCATCGCCGGCGCCAGCGAGAACAGCATCCGCGGCACCATCGAACTGTGCAAGGAATGTGCCGACGCCGGCGCCGAGTACGTCCTCATCGTGCCCCCCAGCTACTACCGCTACGCCGTCGGCAACGACGAGACGCTCTACGAGTACTTCACTGCCGTCGCGGACGGCTCCCCGCTCCCCATCATCCTGTACAACTACCCCGGCGCCGTCGCCGGCATCGACATGGACTCCGACCTCATCATTCGCATCTCGCAGCACCCCAACATTGTCGGCACGAAGTTCACCTGCGCCAACACGGGCAAGCTCACCCGTGTCGCTGGCACCCTCAACGCCATCACCCCTCCTTCCCCGCTCGCCCCCACCACAAAGAAGCCCTCCACCAAGCAGGTCGAGAACCACCCCTACGTTGCCTTTGGCGGTATCGCCGACTTCACCCTGCAGACGCTGGTGTCCGGGGGTTCGGCGATCCTGGCCGGCGGCGCCAACGTCATCCCCCGTCTGTGTGTGCGCATCTTCAACCTCTGGAGCGAGGGCCGGTTGACAGAGGCCATGGAGGCGCAGCAGTTGCTCAGCAAGGCTGACTGGGTGCTCACCAAGGCGGCCATCCCTGGTACCAAGAGTGCGATCCAGAGCTACTATGGCTACGGCGGGTACCCTCGGCGGCCATTGGCCCGACTTAGCGAGGAGCAGGCGCAAGCGGTGGCGGAGAAGATCAAGGATGCCATGGAGGTGGAGCGTTCATTGCCTGACATTGCATAGACCGTTTATTTTTGTAGTTTACTTACTTGAATGCAAATGAAGCTATGATTGGCTATGTTGAGGACAAGAGATTTTCGGGCCAACTGAAGCCGCTGTAGTATAAAGTTGCGTTCGCTACCTCGGGATATCATTGATAACAATGCTTCCCCTCAACTCCTTCCATAATTATCGGAATCTCTTCCTCTTATTCTTGCCGGGTAGACTTCCATGCTCTTTCACAACTGTACCAGAAATCAGTTTCTCCAAATCTGCGAGGGGCCAACCCCCACGCCAGGCACAATTGAGCTTGATCCTGATAGGTGGACAATTTACCCCGAGCGGGCAGCTCTCGAATACAACCCTACCAAATATGAAGACATGCCGAAAAAAAGTTTTGGATGGACAGTTGTTGTCATGCGACGTTTGAATTTTGTCAATGAGGTTGAATCTCAGTATTCACTAGAAGGTCGTGGTGATGGACGGAGTGCGTTGAGTGATAATGTCCATCCTCTGGGGACCAGTCTACAACATAGAAACAACGCTCATAGTTTCGTGTCCAGCTTACCTGGAGGGGCCAGCATAGAGCAAGACTGCAGCAGGTCTGAACCAGACGATAAGTCTCGTCAGTTAGTTATACAGCAAGTAGAAACGTGTCGGAACAATCCACGGAAAGTCAACTTGACGTGGCTGGCAAGCCTGGCAAGCCTGGCAATTCCTGGGAGCAAAAAGTCACGATAAGCCGTAGCTCCGCAGTCAATAGGTGACAATAATTGGAGAAGCGGGTTGGATCGGCCAAGTGGGTTGGTGCGTTCAGGACGCTGCGTGCCAGATTTAAAAGATGGGCCGTGGTCCTGCCTTGGAGGGGCTGCTCTTCTCTCGTTTTCCCCTCATACTCGACTCTTGACTAGTGACTGTCTCTTGTTTTCTAATAGCGACTGAACTCATCCTGCACAATGCCTTACCCCGACGAAGCCGAAGGTTTCCAGGTTGACAGCCCTGAGACTTTCACCACTTTCCACAAGAGATTTGTATGTAGCACTCGCTTGTTGCGATTCGGCAGTCGTTTGCTAATTTTTGTCTCTTGTTGCGTATAGTTCAAGCTCAAGCCTTTTGGTGATTATGGTGAGTGGGGATCTTGAATCAAGCGCAGCATAACGCTTGCGATAGCTGACACAATCCGCTTTAGATGTCGACATCAAGATTGAAGCGTGCGGTATCTGCGGCAGTGATGTGCACACGATCAGTGGTAAGTCTTGAGTTTGCGTCCAAGAAACCAAAAGGATAGCCTTGTTGACAGCGTTGTTCAGGTGGCTGGGGAGAGCAGAAATTCCCCCTTTGCGTGGGACATGGTAAGAATGGAACTCCGTCCAACACACCGAGGTGAACATGTCTGACCAGAGTCGCTCCGACAGAAATCGTCGGTCGTGCAATCCGCGTCGGCCCCAAAGTGACCCTGGTCAAGGAGGGCCAGCGGGTGGGTGTCGGCGCTCAGTCCTACTCCTGCGGCGAATGCAAACAATGCAAGAACGACAACGAGACATACTGCCCTGTTCTCATGATCGACACATACGGCGCCGAGTGGCCCGAGACTGGCATCGTCAGCCAGGGTGGCTACTCCTCCCACGTCCGCACCCACGAGCACTGGGTGTTCCCCATCCCCGACGCCCTCGATACCAACCTCGTTGCCCCTATGCTCTGCGCCGGTCTGACTGCATACTCTCCTCTGGTCCGCAACGGGGCCGGCCCCGGCAAGAAGGTCGGTATCGTCGGCCTGGGAGGTATCGGCCACTTTGGTGTCATGTTCGCCAAGGCGCTCGGTGCAGAGGTCTGGGCCATCTCCCGCAGTCGGGCCAAGGAGGCCGATGCTCGCAAGCTTGGTGCGGACGGATACATCGCCACGGCGGAGGAGGGCTGGGAGAAGCCTCACCAGTTCTCGTTTGACCTCATCATCAACTGTGCTAACTCCTCCGAGGGCTTCGATCTGGCCAAGTACCTGTCCATGATGGACGTGCACGGCCGCTGGATCAGCGTCGGTCTGCCCGAGGAAGAGGGCCAGGTCATCAAGGCACAGCACCTCATCTCGAACGGAGTCCTGATCGGAGCGAGCCATCTTGGCAGCCGGAAGGAGATGCTGGCCATGCTTCAACTGGCGGCCGATAAGGGCCTGAAGAGCTGGGTGGAGGAGCTGCAGATCGGCGAGGAGGGCCTCAAGGAGGCGATGCTCCGGATGAAGAAGGGAGATGTTCGCTACCGGTTTACCCTGACGGGTTATGACAAGGTCTTTGGTCAATGATTCGATTTGAATTGATGCACTAGTACGACTAAGATATGAAGATATGACAGAAAAGCTTTGTATAGTTTATGCACAGTACAGGTGAAATGATCCAAGGCGCTGATTGATATACTGCTCGCGATCCACAAGGTACTCGATGTACTAGCGATTAGTAGCGTATTGGTTGCTCATCGCAACTGAATAGTAGCAATCCATAAATTGCAGCCAGAGTTTTGAGAATTGAGATAGCTAGACAAATGTAATAGGAAGAATTGGTGCCCAAGAAAGAACTTGAGAGGAAACGGTCTTGATTGAAGCCCTAACTGTGAAGGGTTCCCGCTCCTTTTGTGGATAGAGAACCCCATGGGGAAATTCATCGACAGCGGGGACGGAAGAGAGATCCAGTCATCTGAATCGAATTTCAATAGATTGATATTTAACATATTTAGGGATCTTCTTGTCTGGCAGTTATCCTACAGTAAGAAAACCACAAAAAAAGGACAGTCAATTATTGAAGCAAGGAGACCAGAGTTGTTCCACACCTCACCGTGGTGCTGGAGTCTAGTAACCAGTTTATGACTATAGACTGGTGAAGCTAAGATGAGCTTACTCATGTATATAATTAAAGTCTTTAGTTTGTGCTTGATAAAACATTTCTTACTCTCATAGTATAGTTTTAGAGTCCACACCTCTCATCCATAAAGCTTGTTTGCACAATTTCTCAATTATAAAGTACACCTGTATTTTATTCAATCAATCAATGCCTATTTCGCGTCTTGCTTTAGCAATCTAAGCACCCTGTGGTATCTTTAATCTGCTCATACAACTTCTGATCATTCTTTTCATATTGGTCCGACTACTGGTTTAATAATGACACACCCCTCATTTTAATAGTGTTATCACCCCTTAATCATCTACAGATTTATAAACAGGCATGCCTCTAAAATATTATGAATTCCTTAAGCTCACTCCATAAATATAAATACTAATTTTAAGATGCCTGCATGAACCACAGCATACACCTCCTTCCTTAAGGTACCTTAGTCTATGTGGTTTCTTTCAGACCCAGGCGCAAGATCTCCGCCTAAGTACGGAGTAATTATTGGCCAAGAGACAGTTAAAGAATAGCAGCGGGTTACAGTTCAGCCAAGGAATGTCTGCCTCAGCTGATCAGACTCCATAACTTTTCCATTAGATCTGTGCCCGGAAGGCAATGAGATTCCCACAGACTCACAAGGCATGAAGGCCACGATAAACTGGGTAATATAGGAATCGATTGTGATAATATGTGTTTGTTTCGTCTAATGTACTGACTAATTTTTCGGTTCGTTCTAGACTCCCTCCCTACCTCGTACTCGGAGTTCGTACCTTGATTTTGAGTTCTGGTACCGTTGGTACTAGTATCTTATTTTCCGGGCCGTCTAATCACTTCTGGTGCGGAGGGGGACCATGTAGTGTTTGAAAGGTGCTCATATGACTGGACTGAGAGGGAGCCCGGTTTTACATCATGTCACCATGGAAATGTTTCTACTCTTCTGGGCATCCTAACAGCTGATCAATATCCATCACAACAGAATCAACTTTGAACAAAGCTTACTCAAATTGAACAGCTTACTTCTCATTACGTTGTACCATCAGCTATGTCCAGCTCAAGTGGTCCAGTTCCTCCTTCCAAGGTTGTTGACATCGTCGAGGCGCCAGATGCTTCTTTCGACGAGCCTGAGCGCGTCGAGCTGATCAACAAGATTGCCAACGCACTAAACGCTTTGAATGAGCCGAAAATAAGAAACTGGACAACTTGTTACGCGTGCTTATGGCTTGGTGATATAGAGAAACTACGAGCTTTAGTTAATCAAGCTCTCCCCGATAATGGGGAGCATGATATTCTGAGGATCTATGACAAGTTCTTCCGTGTTGAGGACGAGGGCTGCATAGGTCAAAATTGTTAGCCATCATCCAGCCTCTATCATTATGTACGGCTAACAACATGTTCTATTCAGGGCAACAAAAGAAAGGTAGTGCTCAATCAACGGCTCCATCTGCTCCGCCAACACCAGCCAAGAATACACCACCACCCTTGTTCTTGTCCTCCCCCGCCCTTGGGCGGAGCCCGGGCGATTTGGTATCTGAGCCTCCCACCTCAACTCCACAGCGCCAACGCGTGTCGCTAGGAACATCAGGAAGTCCTAGTGCGTCACACAAAAGAGCAGGGGACCCTCAGAGCACGCCTAAAGGGGCGAAGAAGCTTAAACTAGATACAGCCGTCTGGGAAAGTGTAAGCTACGCCTGGCCGCCAGAATCTGTTGCAACTGCCTCAGCACTAACCACATGGTATCCTAGTGTAAGAAGCGTGACAAGGCCTGCATTCTTACAAAATTCCACGTGGACTTCTGCCAGTCATGCCATTTGTTCCCATATTGCTCGAACAATGAGAATACCCAAGGTGTGCAATGGTTTTTGAGGGCGCTAAGAGATTTCTGGAGTAAGGAAAGGGTGGATGGGTGGAGAGATGCAGTCTATGGAGATGCTACCAAGACTGAAAAGATCCAAAATCTCATAACCCTCAACTATAACGCACATCAGCTCCATATAAAGGCGCTTTTTGCCCTTCAGCCTGTTAACAGGGATGAGGTTCATGGTAAGTGGCTTAAACTTCGGTTCTGGTGGCTGAAAAAACATGACCATTCAGATGGGGTTGAGTTTAGTGTTCGCCCACAACTTCGTGAAGATTTTTGCCCAACAGAATATGCAGTTGCTCTGCATAATATCTATAATAATCTTCCACTTGTCTCTGGTGATTACATCACGCTTGAGACGCATAATCCAGAGACTCATCCCCTCCCTGATACTCGGCTCCTTGACATGCAGTGGATGCTGAATCGTGTGCTTGCCTTAAGGGGTGCTGCAGAACCGGAGGAACTGAAGGATGAGTCGGATGAGGACTCAGATGAGGAACTTGGCCTCACTGCCAGGCCCGAGGTGCCTCTGGACTTGAGTTTTTATGGCGAATCATCTCCTCTGTCCTCTATCACTAATATCGCGAGTGACCAGCCCAAGGCTAACCCCGTCATCGCGACGACTGATACAGTCGAACAAGGTCTCCTTAAGGAATAGTTTACTATCTTCCAACAAGGACTTGTCCTATACATGGCCTCCCTACTGGATTGTAGGCCCCTGTATAAGCGCCCTACTGGACAGTAGGCCCGTCTATATAGCACCCTGCTGGATTGTAGGCCCTTTATAAGCAGCCTACTGGATAGAAGTCGTTAACACCCTTATTTAATGGGTCCGCAAATCCGGAATCAAATCTGGTGCCGGGGGTTCTTAGCCTCCGGCCTTCAGCGACAAGCTCACACCTCACCGTGGTGCTGAAGTCTAGTAACCTGTCCATTGACGGACAGGCGAAGCTAAGATGAGCTTATTCTTCTTGTAGTCAACCGTAACTTTGTTAAACCATTATCAGACACCGATTTTTACTTTGTTAACTCTCTTCAACAAACATAAAGTAACTCTTGAAGTTTCAAGATTGATATCTACTTATTTACAATGGTACCTACAACCGCTTACTCACAGCACGGCAGGCCGCGGATCAACTAGACTACGACAACTTGCCGCAGCCAGTCGCGCCTGCTTCAGAAGTTTACATAGGCCTAATCAAGAACTCCGCCCTTGACACTGCCATTCATTCCGAAATCTTTATCTAAGTGAAATAGCGGTCTTTTGACAGTACTACAGACCCTCGGTAGATTGAGGGAGAAGGGGAATACATCCAGCGGGCATCAAATCTGAGAACTTTACTTCAGAACCTGTCGATATACTGGAGTTCTCAGATATACTTGGGCATCGTCCTAAAGCTTCAGCGGATAATCCATTCCCATGCCAAATAAGCAGGGCACACACTCTATGGTTGATGCGGTATTCGGATAACTGCAAGGTTTACCTGGAGCTAGTTCTGATCAGGGACTTCCAACGCGAGAAGGATCACGACTAGAGCCTAAATAGACCGGATCGAGAGTGCTCATTTGAACCAATCCAGAACTGCGCTGGTTCGGAAATTGTACTCAGAATTCACCAGAAAATGCCAGTTGACGATCTTAATATCTACCACCAGAGAGAACGTCATTACCCTAGTTCATGGTGATTTCGTTGTTGTTGGACTGTCGACTCTTTACAACTGGGAGGGGGAGCTGTTCATGCAGGCGTTGTCAGCCAGAGAGCGGATTAGGGCTCGGTCTGCTTTGGATTAGCGCGGCGCTCACTCCACACTGCTACCTAATTCTATCTGCCGCTCCACAAAATCTTCCCAGAAACATTCTTGGCCTGCGCTTTAAGTGTTTTAGCTCGTCTGCTCTCTTATTCGAGTCATCAGGCGAATCAATCCACCAGCTCGAAAGATCATCAAAATTCGCTCGTCCCTGTTTGAAGATAAATGTTTTCAATAGTATTCTGATTCCAATAAGTCTCATTGGCCTCTCCAGCGACCTGAGAGTTCCCCTGGTCTTCACCGACCCGAATTGGACAGAAAGATCTTCCATTCCTTAGTGTTTCCAGCCCTGCTTCCTCTTCTGCTTCCTCTTCTGCTTCCTCTTCTGTTGCTTCTTCCTCTTCATTATTTAGCCGGATTCCGGACAATGTTTCTGGCAATATAATTACCCTGAGCTCTACCCATATTCCTTTGATGGTGAGCCCAGTGACACTGATAACTGTAACTCAAATGGTTAGCTGCACTGCTACTGATCCAGCATCAGTTAGACGTTTGATCTCAACATCTGATTCCACTTCAGAAGGAAATTGGTCAATAGTGGCTCCCCTTGGTGCAAGCTTATTTACTGTCTTTGCTATGATGGTGTTATTATAGATCACCAAACTTCCCTCCTCCTTACCCGGCCCTTTCATTCTTATTATTTCGTTTTGTTATGAAGTGCGTGCAACCACAGGGAGGGCGGGATTGGTGAGACGTAATCATGATTGCAAAAATACCAGTCCATATCACAGGTAGCTATAGTCTGCAGCAACACTACCTACTACATTATTCACAGTTTGAATCTGCATATTCTTGTCAGTCTAATAATGGAGAATGGTATGTGAATATAGCCCTTCAAGTATGAATATGCCCACAGTCTCTCTTTCTCTCAACCTCTCCTTCTCCCCTTCTCTATACACCTTTTCTCCCCTCCGTACCTTTCTAATCTTTATATCTGCCTGTTATCCTGCAAACTCCTCTCTCAGTACCCTCATCACCTCTACTTTTGCTTCTCGATTCATCTCACAGTACCCTTTCTCAGTTTACTCTCTCTCAACTCTTGACTTGATTCTGCCAAAACGGCCACATACTGGACTGATGCCTCGCCAGAGCTGGCCAACACTCACACTTATCAGCGTTCCATGAGGGAGCCATCCCCACTGGGATCAGTGATAGGTACGACCTTATGACCGACTTGCCACCAAGCTACGAGCTCCGTCCATCCTCCACTCCAAAGCAGCTGCACAACGCAGTGAAAGCCATTCACAGCCAGTTGGAGCAGAACGATTGGCAAGAAACCAATGGCTAGTGATCATGGGTATGTCACAAGCTGCCATCGACAGGCTGAGCAATAAGCCCGACTGCCTACCGGGTATCTCTTTTCGATTCATGTGGATTGGAACTACAGGACTCATCAAAGTAGTCCCATCTGCTGCACATGATCTGACCATATCGGGTGCGAGCCATTATATCGACCGGCAGTGCATTCGGATGGGAGTGGCAGACAATAATCTTGTTTGGGGACTTACAGTAACGACACCTGGTACCGTCACTACCCACGGCAAACAGCCGGATAACTGCTTCTTCCCGCCTAACCGCCAGCCTTTGGGTGGCCAGTTCAACGGCTGGCAGTCACTCGTCATAGAAACCGGAGTGTCAGAGTCTTTGGAAAAGCTTCGTCAAGACGCCATTTGGGTTTTTCAAAATTCCTCCGGGGACACCAGAATTGTCCTCCTCATCTCGATCAAAGCCCGCACCAAGGAAGTCAGATTCGAGGAATGGCAGCTTGCTCCTCCCAGCCTTACACCTCTGACAAGACAAGGAACTAATCAGCTACGTCAGCAAGCCAACCTGATGACCCCCCTTATCCAGCAGCAGGCAGCCAGCCAATTCGCCTTCTGCCATCAGGAAGTACTCGTTACGCCCACATCCATCACCGGAGGACCTATTGTGATCCCTTTCAGAGCCATTTTTGATCGGCAGCCTACGGGAGCTGAAGGCGATGTAGGTGTCAAACAACCAGGGCTTTCGTTCCATTACGCGGTTTGTTTAAATGAACCTTGGTATTGCTGTCATTTGGCGGACTGACCGTGCGTTCTGCTGGCTATGTCTTTTAATGCGCGCTGCGTTTCGTACTGGGAACCTCTTTGATTTGGCGATTCAATCATGCATTATGTCGTTAGTTCTTTTGGTTCTCTACATTTCCTTGGTATTTTAAGGCCTCGGCATAGGGTTTTCCGTCGGTGGTATGATTTTCGCCTCTGCTGTCTGCAAATGTAGAGGCTTACAATTGAGTCAGAATGAGATTTTGATCTAACCCACCAAACCATACAATAAGTCCCTCAAAAGAAGGTGGTGGTTGTTGTGGGGGACGGCTTGCCCACGTATACTCACCTTTCTTTTTGGTAAGCTAACATATTTATAAAAATATAGTTTGTTGTGGAATATGGGTCTTTGACGATGGCTGGAGGATCGTGAAACTAGGTAGGATGCAGATGATGCATTCTTATGGGTTGTTGGATTCTACCTTAGTTATTAGCGCCATTTTGCAAACGGCTGCATACTCCATTGCTCTGATGATTGTTGGCTGTGTAGTTGCAGGAATTGGTAACAGCAAGAACATCATTGTTGCATGTCCAGTTTTGAAGGCCAAACGGCCCAGGAGATACATTCGGCTTTAGTATCCCAAACATCATATAGAAGGAATTTATACCAGATTATGGCGCGATTCTAAAATGCTTTCCCAATACTTCCGAATTCCGATGTACTACACGCCAGGTATCGGAGTATTGATCCCTACATCAAACCAAATACGAACCAAGAACAAATCAAGACAACCTTGATAGGTATGGTTAGATCTGACTGCGTAAGGCAGCGATGCGCAGGCGTGGAATTGCCCTGCTTCTAAAGATCAAAGGCCACGCACAAGCATGGCCTTTCCATTGTCACTCACAGTTACTCCATAGGGAAGTCTCATTACTGATAACTCAATTGGATGTTGTATAAGCGATGAAAAAGTTATTATTTTTTTCTCAGCTCTGCCTGCAAGAATAGTAACAATAAGTGTGGATTGGATTGACGGTCAAAAGTACTGCAGACGAGGCGTTATCATCGCCACCTATGATAAAGTTTTTCGAGAAAGGTCGACTTTGGAGCGAGTCTCCGTCACGATGAACTGTCCTTCCCCCTTCACCATGGTTGGTACCTGAATTTTGCCATTGGACCGCGGAGTTCTAGAAACGGTGTAGAAGGACGGCGTTCTTCGGACGTTGTCCTAATCTTTTTCCCCAACTCTCAGTCGTGCGAAATTCCCAATCGGGCCTTATCGGGCTGGGGAGGCAAAAAAATTGCATTCTCACCGCCTGCCGTCACCCTTTTCCCTCTTATCACCCCCCTGCTTCGATCTTCTCTTTTTATCCCTTATTATTGCTTATTGTTCATATCCTTCCTCTCAGCTTTGGTTTTTGTCAGCGTCCCTTTTTCTTGTTTCTTTCTTGTCTATTTTTTTTTCTCCTTCGTTTCAAGGGTGTGTGCTGTACATTCTCTCGCCCTGCGACCCCGGCGTTTCTATCTCTAGTATATCTCTATCACGGGTAGATCTTGTTGCGGTCGCTCAGTCATTGTCGTCGATATCAATTCCCTCTCTTTCGTTTGTCATATCAGTTTTGGGGTTATTTTATTTAGAACCTATCGTCTTTCCATGCTGGCCCTTGGGAGTACATAAATCTCCTCCTTCGACATACTCAGCTCCTTGCGTTGACCCCCTATTGTTTCAGATTGAAGGGCAAAGGTTTCCGAAGTTGTCAATATCTAGACTATTCCTCGGTCCCAGCTGGCTCTCGTGCAGAACGCAATTTCCCCGATACTCCACGACATCTATCCGGGTCTGATCCTGTTGCCGATCTCTATCTCGACCTCCCAAGCGCCATGATGCCACGAGAGTCGGTTGCTATTTCCGCGCGACGTCGCCCGTCACTCTCTGTCAAGACTCGCCCTCGCAATGCCACACTGTCAACAGCACACCCGTTCGCATTGGAACATGATGTTTGGAATGGGTCACTCTGCGCCGATGAAGACCACAATGACGATGAAGACGTTGTGGAAGAGACGAACCATTTCCCTGAACCTGTTACCAGACGCCGTGCTGCAAAGAGCTTCTCCAGCTTGCGGCATCCCATGGACGGGTTGCGTGCTCTGGGCCGTCGCCTTTCTGTGACCATCCGTCACAAGTCATCCAAACATGCTTCTCATCACCACGCTTACGAGGATGTCGGTGCTGCGGTCCATAAGTCTCAAGACGCCAGTGGGTGTGGAGAAACCGGATTAGGACAATCCTCGTGCAAGGGCTACAACCCCAACCGCCGCCCTTCTCTTACTTACGAAACTGCCTTGCAGACATTCTACGCACCTGTTGCATCAGTTCCGGCCCCTATCCCCGGTCGTGGACTTGAACCTCCGATTCTTCCAGACAGTATTTACGCTGGGGCGGCCGCTCGGGCCGCTGCAGCTGCACAAAATGAATTGGCGAGAGCGGAACGAGAATATATCAAATCGTTCGATATGAAGGTCACTCGGGATTCGGAGAGTGGCATTGACATTGATCTGCGCGATCGCTCGGAATTATCCGAAGTGGAACTGGCTTTCGTCCGCATTGATCCCGTGACCTATCTGCCACCTGAGATCATGTCGCTGGCTCTATCGTATCTTGACCCCGAGTCTCTGATGAAGGCTGAACTGGTTTCTCGTGCTTGGAGAGAGCAGGCTTCCTCTCGGCACATCTGGAGACAGGTATTTCGTCGTGCGTACGGACATCGCCTCCCCAGCGGTGCCGCACCCAAAAAGAGGCAGTCCGCTGGTCTAGGAAAGTCAATTCCGAACCAGGACTGGAAGAAGATGTTCCTCGTCCGTCGTGCTCTCGATCATCGATGGAAGGAGGGGAAAGCGGCCGCAATATACCTGCACGGCCATACGGACAGCGTCTACTGTGTTCAATTCGATGAGTATGTTTTGAGTCCCCGCGTTATATGGTGATTTGATCTGACTTGGGCTTTACAGAGACAAAATCATCACTGGTTCTCGTGATCGAACCATCCGGGTGTGGGATGCTCATTACCCTTGGCCGTGCCGTAAGATCATTGGTCCTCCTCCGGGCGAGGTCTCGAGCATTGGACAGGTCAACAACCCGACTCAGCAGTCGTCGGGCAAACCTCCTTTTCTCACCATCTGTCCTCCTCCTACCCTCGCGGCAGGAATTGTCACTCCCATTGACCAGAGCTCCGACTACCACAGTGCTTCCATTCTTTGCCTTCAATTTGACGAAGAGATCATGGTCACGGGGTCGTCTGACTTCACCTGCATTGTCTGGGACATCAAGAACGATTACAGACCCATTCGTCGTCTGGAGGGTCACAGAGCTGGCGTGCTGGACGTGTGCTTTGATGATCGGTACATTGTATCCTGCTCCAAAGACACAACCATCTGTGTGTGGGATCGGCAGACGGGTGCGCTGGTAAAGAAGCTCCTCGGCCATCGAGGACCCGTGAACGCCGTTCAGCTCCGGGGCGATCTTGTTGTGTCGGCGAGCGGGGACGGAGTAGCCAGACTCTGGAATATTACCTCGGGTCTTTGTGTCAAGGAATTCTCCAGCAAGGACCGTGGACTAGCCTGTGTGGAGTTCAGTGATGACGCGCGCACCATTCTCACCGGTGGAAATGACCAGTCGATCTACCAGTTCGACGCAAACACTGCCGAGATGGTCCGTGAGCTGAAAGGACATGCTGGTCTTGTCCGGTCACTGCATCTGGACAGCATGAACCAGCGGATTGTCAGCGGCAGTTATGACATGAGCGTCAAGGTCTTCGACGCCCAGACCGGCGAGCTCTCCATTGACTTGCCTGGCTGGACCACCAGCTGGATGTTGAGTGTGAAGTCGGACTATCGACGCATCGTTGCCACCAGCCAAGATTCTCGAGCTGTCATTATGGATTTCGGCTATGGCCTCGATGGCATCGAGTTGTTGGAAGAGTGATCTTAACTGACGCCTTCCCTTTTATGAACGTTGGAAATATGTTGGGATTTGGAGTTTTCGGATGGTACACTGGCACTTTTCAAAAGAACATGACATTTTTCTTAGAAGCGATAGATTTTCTTTGCTTTGGACTTGTTAGACTTGGAGCCTGTTTCGGTTCTTTGTGCTCTTTGATTTCATACAAAAAGACACCTTAGAGATTAGACGCTGGCTGTTACTGGTGCATTCAGTTGGATTTAGAATCAGAGCACTACTGGTTACACCCTGGTCCCTACAGGCCCCTATATAGCATACTTGGACTAATTTACTCCTTTTTGCCTCTGATATATCCGACTCTTACGCATCATCACCTGTTAGCTAAATGATCTTGAAGCCAAGGGAGAGGGTGCATATGATTGGCCAGGGGGGCTCCTTAGCGCCAGGCAGAGCCGTGGGTTTCGAGGACAGAAGCAAAACAATCCTCTGTCTGCTACGGCTCCTCGTTCTCTTCTCCCCATAAACAAATTCAACCTCAATCAAAACAAAGGCCATCTGTAGCTAAATTTCCTCTGTTCTCGATATCGCTCGAAATACAATCCCTCTCCGACGCCCTTTCAACGGTTGTGCATCTTCGCAGTGACAAAATTACCCCACCATGGGAGAATCCAGGTCCGTCAGGCCAACTGATCGCTCCCCCCAAGGGGCTTTGTTTTGATGGCCGGCATCTTACTGATTTGAGAATTTCTCGCTATACAGACAGGAATTGCTGGCATGGATTAACAACCTGCTGCAGCTGAACTTGACCAAGATTGAACAGTGCGGAACCGGGTACGATTGACGCTCCTTTTTATGTCCTTGAGATAGTCGACCATTCCACGCCGTCTCTATATGGATAACACGGATTTGAACACATCCAGAGCATGATCTCAAAGTGCTGATTTGGTTCCACAGGGCTGCTCTGTGTCAGATTTTTGATTCGATATTTAGTGAGTGAACAGCTAGCAGGCTTCAAGGAGCCACTTGGGTTTAACGGTTGTGGTTGACTGGCTAACCTGTGCCCTCTCATGCAGTGGATGTTCCCATGTCGCGTGTGAAGTTCAATGTCAACACCGAATACGCCTATCTCCAGAATTTCAAGATCCTTCAGAGTATGACACCGCATGGACCGTATATTCCACGGTTGAGATCCCATTTCTGATCCCTAGGCTCTATTTAGATACATTCACTCGCCACCAGATTGAAAAGCCGATCCCGGTCCAGCAGCTCTCAAAATGCCGCATGCAGGATAATCTCGAATTTCTCCAGTGGACCAAGAGATACTGGGACCAGCACTACCCCGGGGGCGACTACGATGCCGTAGGCCGCCGGAAGGGTTCTGGCGCTCCGGCCCCTTCTGCCACTGGTACTCGCTCTGGCGCATCGTCCTCGGCGGGAGCTACCCGGAGAGGAGCTACCCCTACAACCGGCGCTGTTCGCCCTCGGGTTTCCGCCGCCGGAGGAGCCAGCACTGCTGCTCTGCAGCAGGAGATTGCGACTCAGAAGGAGGCTATTGCTGGCCTGGAGAAGGAGCGCGACTTCTACTTTGCCAAGCTTCGGGATATCGAGCTACTGCTGCAGAATGCTATCGAGGCCGACCCAGAACTGGAGAAGGAGGAAGACTCTCTGGTGAAGCATATCCAGGGCATTCTGTACTCGACGGAGGTACGTGTTTGTGACGCTTTGCCTCTCTTTTTTGCTTCAGGTGCTAATTCTTTGTATAGGAAGGGTTTGAGATCCCAGCGGAAGCGGAGGTCGCCGATGAGCTGGAGACATTCTAGGTTCATGGCAATGGACGTCTTTTCGTTAATAATACCCCTTTATCACTAGCGTTGAAACCGTGAACCTTTACATCCCCACCGCGACTTGAATCAGTCCCTTTTCCTTCCGTCTTTGGTTTGGATTAGTGGCATATGGAGTGCGAGCAGCGCCTCATCCGTGCTTGGGCGTGTGGTGAGCCAGACAAATACGAATTGCAAAGCATAGAGTGAAAGTCAACCTGTGTATAGTGTGAGACCGAGATTTGTGGTCTACTTGTACTTTGCTTTCATCTACGACGGAGGAAGACCCAGCCGAGTGTGCAGTTTTCATATGTCGAAACCCTTTTGGGCTTGAGGCGTACTCCGTCCAGTAAGGTCAAACTCAGGTGATTGCACGTGTCTTTTTGCGCGACCTTCCATGAACGTTCCTCAGTACTAGTGTTAGCCATTTTGGCGGACGGGTTCCATTCCTTCGACGGCATTCTCGAAGGAGGGTCGGTGGGCCTTGATCATTATTTTCCGGATAATGACACCATCACACGGGAAGAGGGTAAGAGACTTCTCTAAAAGTGATATTTATATCTGAACGGGCCGAGTTCATATAAATAGCAGTGGGGTCGGAGGAAGACGTAGACGGCAAATTTAAAGTCGTACGTCAGCCCTCCCAGGCGTGATCATTCTCTATCCAGGTGCTGATGCACTGTTATCGCCTCGACAGCGGCATGCAAAAGGCTGCGAGTCAAGCACGGACGGAAATACACGGTGATACGATGTTACTCGAGAGAAGACTTGGAGACTGGGATAAGATGGTGACTCGACTTCGTGCTTTGTGCCCCAGTAAGAAAAGGTAGGCCTGTAAGAGTACCTAAGTGCGGTTGTAAGAGCTGTACCTTGCAGGTTTAGGCTATTGGTTACACGCGGCGATAGACGGAGTCCCCTTGCCTCCAGTTGCAGTCTGAGCCTCAGGGGTGCATTACTAGCAGGCTTACTGCATTGGCTGATGGGCGGTCATACGGGGTATTATTATTATGGGGTCAATGGTTAGTGTAGACTGCTCACTGTTGACTTTTTGTGTATCTTAACTCCAGGATAGACATGTTTTGTCAACTGATTTGGATTGCGCAGATGAGATGATAGGCTTGCAGCCAAATGATCCAACTGGAAATACGACCCGTCTTTCTGCGGTACTGTTTGTGTTTATTTACACAGACCGAGATCTAATTAAACAACTCTTCTGGCTAGTCTTCAGGCTAAACCACTTGAGGGCTAGTGCGTAAGCGAGTGACGCTTTTCCACCCACAGTTTTGTGGGGCGTGTCTCTTTTTTTAATTATCCTTGTTCGGGCCAGAACCTCTTGGTATCATCTGCAGGCTGCAGCAAAATACTTAGGTGGGTGATCTGCTATGTCTCGGACAATATGATATTATCACTATGTCTGAATTGTTATGCAATCACCTTACAGAGAACCATTACCACTAATATCATTGACCATCGGGGGACAGCAGAAGTTTCTCGTGCCGTCTAGGTAGTCTAGCTGAGTACGGAGAAAGATGTACCTTAATTAATTTTGAAATTGGCCCAATGAGGCCATCGAGACTAGCAGCCGCCTCGGAGGGTCTAAGAGAAAACAGTCTAAGACCCGGGAAACGCAGTGACTCGTGAGCCTGTATCTAATTCTAGTCTATTGATTATTTCCTGCTCCTGCTCCTGTTCCTGTCCTGTGTGCCTGGCCTGATCGATCACCAACAAACAACCTGGTCGGGTCGGCTAACTTCCCAGCTACTTTAGCTAGTGTAGATATTCAAAACGAGACTACTCTAGTCTAGTCCGTCCGTTTTACGATCGCCTTGTCTCTTCGTTTCTTCGCTTCTTCTTCTCATTTCCTCGTTCCCCTCTTTCGTCCTTTTCCTTTGCGGTTACGCCTCCCTCCCCCTCCCTCATCACCGCCGCTTCCCCCCCCCTATATGATCGGATGCCGAGCGAGTAACCTCGATTTTCGACCTGGCTGCGCTCACTGCTAGATTTGGCGCTGGTATAACCAGACCAGTGAGCGGAAATCTCAGTCCACGGGTTAACTCTTGTGGACGTGTGCCGAGAAACGAAAAAGAACGGATAGCGATCCTTGGGTCCGGAACCTGGGTACCTTTCAAAGCGTGGATCCGTCGACCGTCGACCCTCAATCGTCAACCGCTGGGAGAAAGTCGGCAGAGAAATTTAGCAAGTCGCAAGCTTGAGTGAATCCTGCGCATATCTCCTCCGCCACAGGCATGGAATAAGATCCTCGGAGAAACGGCTAGCAATCGTGATCGCTACATTATATCTTTTCGCTTCATATTCTTTCCTTAAGGTATGTGCTTCACTACATCGGCTCCCTTCTCATAGATCAAATCGCCAGCAGAAAGAAACGAGTCAAAGAGCTAACGCTGTCTGGTCAACTTTCTAGACTTTTATGACCCTGAGTCTTCCATTTCTGTCTACATTTAGTCGGCTGCACGGTGACAGCTGACGTCCACTCCTTGGTTTCACTACGGTCTACGATTCCGCCTGTTTCAAACTCGTTACAGACCGACTCGTCGCTTCTTTCGCTTGATACAACGGGTTAGACCCGTCGCTCACTCCTTTACGGCACATGGTCTATCTGTCAACACTCTTTCAATACCATTCAGTTCAATTCAATCAGTATACTGCATCAATCGATCTTACTTTCCCTCCTTTGCAGGTCATCTCAGGCGCTGTGCAGGCAGACACACGGTGCGTTATCGACGACTGAACGATTGCCAATCATTTCAGCTTACTTGAAGCATTACAATTTATTCAGTCCCCAGGCTTGCATGTGATTGTTGGGGGATTAGAACGCTCAGGAGGACAACTGCCAGAATGGCACACAACGGCATTGCTCGGAGTCAGCGGCTTACCAGGCTGATGAAACAGAAGCATCGAACACGTCACGAGGGTGGTGAACCAGCCAGTCAACCAAAGGAAGACTCGGCAGGGTCGTTGATCTCCAGCATGAAAAAAGCACACGTCCTGGACCATAACAAGCTTCATGAGCCGTCAGGGGAGGTATCGCACAAGGTCTCGGATCATTCGCTAGGAAAGCGTCAGGATTCCTCCGCCATTCCTCCAGGATCTCAGACGGAGGCGCTGGCCACCGCGGTAACCAGTGTCGGCGAAGCACCTCCAGACACTGCTGCGGCTCTTCCAACACCCATATCGGATCCTGCTTCCAGTCAACCAACCGTGTCTGTTCCTGTAGAGACACCCCCCGCGGCTGTGCCGTCGACCACTTCGCTAAATGAGATTCCTACCCCGTCGCCTGGCCCGACTTCTTTCACCGCGGACACTTCGGCTACTACAACCGCTAGCGATTTGACGGTCATACCCACCACCTCTGTTTCTTTGTCATTAGACTTATCGCTTTCAATATCCGTTTCGGTTCCCACATCTATCGCCATCATAAACTCTGCAGGTAGCACGCAGTCGTCCGCTTCAATACCTAGTGCTCGATCGTCGAGTGCTGTATTGAGCTCGACCCCAATAGCCTCACCAAAGCCCACTTCGACGAGTACGGTTTCTAGTTCGACCAACACCAACGGTACCAGTTCATACGCTTCATACGACAGTACTTCCAGCGATTCTGGTTATTACTCGACCACGTCCGGGCCAGAAGCCACTACCACTGCGGACCGGTATAGTACGGAAACGTATTTTGGAGGCGGAGACTCAGGCGCAACTGCTACGGGCCAGGCTCCCTCCGCGACGACGTCTTCGTCCTCTGGTGGCGGCTTGAACAGCGTCACTACCAAACGCATTGTGGGCGGAGTTGTTGGAGGCCTCGCTGGCGCATTCTTCCTGCTCGGCCTGCTTCTCTTCCTGCTGCGACGGCGCAAGACGGCCATATTTGGACCGAATCGTGGACTCCCCGCGAGCGATGGGTCTGGCGGCACGGCTGGAGAAGGAGGGTCTGGTTCACGCACCGAGATGGCGTCACGGCGTTCGAGCCGGGACCCCCTGTTCACGGCGTCGTACTTTGCTCCGGCTTTTATGAAGCGCTGGAGGCAGTCGAACCAGACGGTGCGGTCTGACGACAGTACCTTCACCTCTACCACCACGAGCGAACGCGGGTTCCAGAAGATCTCGGGCCGCAAGATCCCCTCGGTGCTGCAGTCAGGAGGGGATGGCTATGGTGGCGGGTTTGATCAGGGATCGCCGACCGCGTCGGAGCCCAGCATGAGCCTAGCCCCGGGGTCACCCGTCCAACCTCGATCGGTCATCTCTCAGCCTCCTCCCTCGATGCCGTACGGAATGCCACTGGATGTGAGCTACACGCGGGAAGCGGACGAACCCGGGTCGGTCGTTGTCTTCCGACCGTCACCCGCCCGGACGCCGGTTGCCAGCTCGACGAACGTCAGCGTGGTGAACGTACCAGCTGCCTCGCGTGCCATTCCTCAACCGGGGGGTACATTATCCCCCACGATCCCACAGCGGCCAGACGGACTGGGCCGCAGTCACCCAAGCTTCGACGGCAGCCGGGGGAGTCGCTTCACAGAGAGCCTTGACGGATTGTGACCAGTTTGGGTATATATTATGCCCTGCTGCAAATAATGTACAAGAGGCATTCTTCTTTACAAACCGAGCGGGCGTATAGTCCGCAGTCTCCGCTGCTCCTCGTCGATCGGCACCCCAACTATCACCAGCGTTTCGCCGTATATCAGCCCGGCGCAACTACCAGCGCAGCCTGGTCACGGCCCATCCGGTAGTAATTCACCGGATTGGAGCATGCGCCTCCATTCGAAGTCACCTTAAGACTCTACATTATATTGCACATCAGCGTGCCATGTCTCTCATGTCTGGATTGTACTTGCTTTCTTTTATGGATACCCCAATCTATTCTATTTCTATTTCATATCTTCTTTGGCTATACTTACTCACATTTCTTGTACTTTCTTCATTCATCTCTGAATGCGAGATCGGGTTGAGTCTCCCGTGTTTACTGTGGATATTTCTTCACCTTGCGGCGTTAAAAGTGTACAGATACAAAGAACGTCACGAGACTGGTGGATAATTTCCGAATAATACAAGATAATCAATAATTGTCTTCTGACCATGATCCCAACAATCCTGTAGCCTACTGTCTGTGTTGTGGTTTGATCGTGAGCTGCAGCTTTGACGATCGCTATTGATTTTCGGCAGCCAACCAGCGATCCATGATTACAAGCGTTGTCTCAACGTTGCGACGCGATGTTTCATCAGCAGCTGCTTGACTTCTACTGTGCCTAGACCTAGTGTCACAGGCTCCAGAGAAACGAAATGAAGCCTGTCCTTAGCGCAATCCCTGAATATCTCCTATAAATTCCTCCGTCGACACCCCGCATTCCTCTCCCCCCTCCATTGCTTATCGTCTATCAGCATCCGCATCCCGCATCCGCATCCGCATACCGATCAACCATGAAAGAACCTACCCCTACAACAGAACACAACCTCCCCTCCAGACCCTTACCCCTAAAGGGGCGTAGCCTCCGCTTCCTCGTCATCGGCGCCGGCTCCCGGGGCAACGCCTACGCCCGCGCCGTAACAACCAGCACCCCCGCGCGCATCCACGCCGTCGCCGAACCGCACGCCTTCAAGCGCGCCGATTTCGGCCGGAAGTATATCTGGGGCGAGGACGGGCGGCCAGCCGAGGGTCAGGAGTTTAGTGATTGGAGGGAATGGTTGGAGTGGGAGACGAGGCGACGACAGTCGCAACAGCCGGAAGGGGTGGATGGAGGCGTGGACGGTGTCTTCGTCTGCACGCTCGACGAAACACACGTTGAGATCGTGACGGCCATAGCGCCATTGGGGCTGCATATCCTCTGCGAGAAGCCGCTTGCGCTGTCGCTGGGTGATTGTCTAGCTGTTTATAAAGCATTGTCGCCAGCCAGCGCCAGCGATAGCAAGAGCCATAACGGCGATGCCTCCGGCGGGGACAAGGTCTTCTCCATCGGCCACGTCCTCCGCTACAGCCCACACAACATCCTCCTCCGCAAGCTCCTCCTCCTCGACCGCGCCATCGGCGACATCGTCTCCCTGGAACACACCGAGCCGGTAGGCTGGTGGCATTTCGCACACAGCTACGTCCGGGGCAACTGGCGGCGCGCGACAGCCCAAGGCGACGGCTCCCTGCTTACCAAGTCCTGCCATGATATCGACTTTATCATGTGGCTGCTGGCCTCTCCGCCGGAGTATGTGACGGGGCAGGGAAGCACGCAGACGCACCACCCCCGCAGCATCACCTCCACCGGCACCCTGACTCAATTCCGGCGCGCCCGCAAACCACCCGCCGCAGGCGCAGCGACAAACTGCCTCTCGTGTCCTGCAGAGCGGGAATGCATCTACAGCGCTGTGCGGATCTACCGCGACCTGCACCTGGCCCGCGGCGAGACAGGCTGGCCTGTTAAGATCGTGGTGCCTGATATCGAGGACGTGTTGCGCTCGTCTGAGGATAACAAGGCTGCAGCAGCGAAAGCCGAGGCGCATCTCCTGGCCCGCCTGCGCGAGGACTACTCCCCTGCCGAAATGAGCGACGAGGAGATTGCGCAGCGACCGTGGTATGGCCGGTGTGTCTACGAGGCGGACAATAACGTCTGCGACGACCAGGTCGTGACCATTACGTGGGATGAGGAGGAGGAATCACCAGTCAACGGGGAGGGGCGACGCGCCAAAACGGCCGTCTTCCATATGATTGCCCCCACGGAGAAACAGTGCGAGCGCCGCGGGCGGGTCTACGGGACGCGCGGCGAGATCGCCTACGATAGCCGGACTATCTCCATCTATGATTTCGCGACGCGCTCGACTACCACCATCGAGGTGCCCAAGCAGCCGCCCGAAGAGGAGGAGGCGCACGGCGGAGGAGACTACGGGCTGGCGCGCAGCTTCGTGCGTGCTGTGGATGCGGTCGAGAATGAGGGCTGGGATGTGCAGCGCGCGCAGACCCATTTCGTCGGCTGTACCCTGGAAGAAGCAGTTCGCAGTCATGCCGTGGTCTTTGCGGCCGAAGAGGCCAGGCGGGAGGAAAAGGTCGTGCGGTGGAAAGAGTGGTGGGCCGAAAAGCTTACTGCGGCTGGCATCGCATGATTCCTTTGATGAACGACTATGATATGATGACGCTGAACTAATGACTTGACTGCATTTGATCTGGCACTGCCATACTACTATATTCTATCCATGCTTAATTACTTCTGAATTCATATTAACCGTCGTAAAACCAGCGCGGCTTGCTGCAGGAAGAAAGAAATTAAGTCTTGACATCAGGGTCCTCCCGGCCGATGTACTCCTTGAACTTCAACAAAGACATGGCAAGGGCCACGTTGTCCTTGAGGTAGTCCTGAGTGTTCATGCCGAACTTGCTCTTGTCGCTCTCGTACTTTTCAATGTACAGACGGATGGTGGCACCGCTGCTGCCTGTGCCCGAGAGGCGGACCACAAGACGGCTGCCGTCGTCGAATTTGACATACAGACCTTGGTTCTTGGTCACGCTACCGTCGAGGTCGGTGTAGGCAAAGTTGCCCGCGTCGGCCACCTTGCGGCCGGACACAGTGCTGCCCACGAAAGAGTCCTTGTTGTTGACCTTCTCGGACAGGTTGGCGATCAGCTTGTTGGCAGCGTCGCTGTCGACATTCTCGTAGTCGTAGCGAGTGAAGAAGGTGCGGCCGTACGTCTGCCAGAACTCGTTCTGGATCGAGGCAATGCTGGGGGTCTCGTTGGGCTTCTGCTTGGCGACACCGGCGATGATGTTCAGCCAAGCGACAATGGCCCAGACACCATCCTTCTCACGGATGTGGTTGCTACCAGTTCCGAAACTCTCCTCACCGCAGATGGAGATCTTCTTGTTATCGAACAGGTTGCAGAAGAACTTCCAGCCCGTGGGGACCTCATAGCTCTGCAGACCCTGGGCCTTGGCGACCAGATCCACGGCACCGGAGGTGGGCATGGACCGTGCCAGACCATAAACGCCCTGCTTCTGGAACCAGGGGATCAGCTTGGCGTGGTGTGCGATGATGGCCAAGCTGTCACCGGGGGAGACGAAGGTGTTGGCGCCGTAGATCATGTTGCGGTCACCGTCACCATCGCTGGCAGCACCAAAGTGGACGCCCTTCTTATCCACGGCCTCGACCAGCTCGTGGGCGTAGACCAGGTTGGGGTCAGGGTGGCCGCCGTTGAAGTCGGGGCTGGGGACGCAGTTCATGGTGCTGTCCTGGGGTAGGCCCAGCTCCTTGACGAAGATGTCCACACCATAGGGACCAGTCACACCGTGCATACCATCAAACAGCACCTTGAAATCCTTGTGGGTGCTGAGGAACTCCTTGATCAGGTCAAAGTCAAAGATCTCCTTCATCATCTTGAGGTAATCGGAGGTGGAGTGAACAATCTCAACCTCCAAGGGACCATAGGTCTTGGTGCCAATGGTGGAGGTGTCGACATCGGGAATTTCGGCGATCTTGTAGGAGGTGAGGGACTTGGAGGTTTCGTAGATCTTGTTGGTGACGGACTCGGGAGCGGGGGCACCATTGCACAGGTTGTACTTGATACCAAAATCGGCATTGGGGCCTTGGCAAGTTAGCGCTCGAATTCGACGGAAGAAAAGCTTCACTTACCACCTGGGTTGTGACTGGCAGTCAGCAGGATACCACCGGTAGCCTTTCTCACACGGATCAGGTTGCTGGCGGCGGGGGTACTGAGGATGCCATTCTGGCCGATCAGGAGCTTCTTGACACCGTAGGCAGCACTGATTTTGGCAATCTTCTGGATAACCTCGGGGTTGTAGTAGCGACCATCGCCACCGATGACAAGGAAAGCTCCCTCAGCACCCTCAGGGATGGAGAGCAGGATGCTGGTGACGAAAGCTTCGGAGTAGTGGGGCTGCTGGAAGACCTTGACCCTCTTGCGAAGACCAGAGCTATAATGAGGGAAATCAGCCAATTTGCTCCTTATGAGAATAATGATTATTTCAAGGGTAATCTAGAATAAAATACTTACGTTCCTGGCTTTTGGTCGGCAAAAGGCTGAATGGAGACTGTCTGGACCGACATGACGTTGGTTTGTTTGGGGTGACAACGTGGGGTAGAGGGGGGCCAGTCAATGAGACTCGACAGTACAGAACAAGTCTGTAGAAAAGCAAAGGATACGGAGTGATTCAATAGATCAGAAGTAGCAGAGTAGAGAAAAGAAGAGAAGAAAGGAAAAGACTTCACCGACTTTCAAGGAAGAAGAAGAAGAAAACAAGAAGCAAGAAACGCAGAGAAGAACAGACAGGAGTCTAGTCTCAGTCGAAGCGGAGGGAAGGTGGGCCGATCACCACTGGTTGAGGGAGAGGGGCAACACAAGCGTCATTATTATGACTTTGGGAGCCCACGACAAGAAATAGTCTGGATATTGCCATACCAATGAAAAAGATGGATGGATCCATGCAGGTAGATAGGTAGTAGTATTGAAATAGTATCTAGCCAGTCAACTGCACTGTGGTGCTGCCAACACGTCACAGCAATCATTTTTCCCAAGCATTGACCTTGTTCATCAATATAACATCCTTTTATGAGCGCTAATCCCATTCCTCTCGCTACAAAGTTTGGTCAGATCTCCTTGGCTCACCGAGATGAGACAGATAAATACTTGGTACATGGCTCCTAAGGTACTGTACAGTGTAGCTAGGAGAGCTCTCGTCCGACCAGCGGGTCATAGCACAGAAACCAGTACGGAGGACTCCATAGCTAGACAATAACCCAATAGTACTATGTCCTACCATTCTAATAATAGCTAAGCTACTCCCTAAACAACCTCTCCTTATAGAACTTCATCTCCTCAATACTCTCCAAGATATCCTCCCTCGCGAGATGCACCTCCTTCTTGGGCGGCACCTCCCTTAACAATGTCTCACCACCCCACCGCCTAGCCGCCTCCTTGAACGCACTCACATCCAGAATCCGATAATGCAGCCACTCCAGCACAGCCTTATACGGTTCCTTCGCGAGGAACATCTTGTCGGCGTGCACGCTGTTGCCCGCCAGCAGCGCCGTGCGCGGACGAGGCACGTATCGCTGGATGTAGGCGAGCAAGGACTCCGCCGCGGCGGCGGGGTTGGTCGTGGATGCGAGGACCGCGGCGGTGAGCCCCGTGCGACCGTGGGTGTCGACGCACCACGGCGACATGGAGTCGAGGACGGAGCGGTCGTGGTGGATGATGGTTTCGAAGCCTTCCCGGTCGAGGAGGTTGAGGTTGGCGTCGGTTATATAGCAGCAGATCTGGAGGATAGTGTCTGTTTCGGGGTTGAGACCGGTCATCTATGATGTCAGTCAGTACTCCGTAAGAGTCTGTCTTAGAGAGATGTTGGGCAGACGTCTGACCTCGCAGTCTATCCAGACCAGAGGGTCTGTAGAGCGTTCGAGCGGCATCCTGTAATTGCTAGCGGTGCTCAGGAACCGTCTGCTTCGAATGGAGCACTGATGATGTGGATTCAAGAAACTATTGTTCAACTGCCAGACGCGGAGTGGAAGGAGTTTCCACATTGAAGCTGGAGCTTGACACCACATTATTTCATGGATACAATGGATACAACAGAAACAGAAATTCTGTCTCAAAAGTCTGGTGGTATATTGTCCTGCGTGTTCATAATTCTATAGTAATTCCCCATCAACAATCAAGTCAATTCACAGCCGATAATTCTCTGTCAATAAATGTTTGGAGAAGAAAAAAAAAGCCCTCCCGGGAATAACGCTGTGGTATCCCCCCTCCAATCTGCTCCCGTCATGTCGGCATCAAGCGAAAAGGTCACCTAAATAAATTTCCCAGCTTCGACTGAGCAAAATATACCTCCACTAGATAAGAAAATAGTGCAAGAATAAATCCAAATAGTGCAAGCCATGCGCTCAATTTACGCCAGTCCGTCACAGTCATGAAAAGATGCCAGTGTCACTGACCACAATGTGTCCCTAAGCTGTAGATTCCAAGCATCAGATCCCAATCACACTACAACTCTTCATCCTCATCTGGTTGCTGGAGAGCTGGCTGCTGGAGTGCCGGTTGCTGCAGTGCTGGTGCTGGCTGCTGAAGCGCCGGCCCCTGTGGCTTCAGGTTACCCCCGAACGTATTCGCAGTCGTACCAGTCTGCGTTTGCTCTCCAGCGCTTCCCAGAGCCCCGCTGATTTCCTGGGAAAGTCCAGACTCCATCCGGCGACGCAGAGAACCTTCGTCCGCTTCTGATACGCTGGCGCGTTGCTTCTTCAGGGGACTACCCACAAATGCTCCATCGAGTGTATTCACAGCAGCCTTTACGGCTTCCGGGCCTGCAGTGCTGCTTGCGGGTGCATTAGGGGGCGTCGTCGATATGCTCGAAGTGGCCGGCGTCTCTCCCGAGTTCAGGGGGCTCCCAGCGTCGGCCCTGCTACTAGCACCGGCCAAGCTTGCAGAAGAGTGTTGACGTTTAAGCTGCGCCTGTTAGCATAAAGTACTCTCCATTAGACCGGCGTGACTTACTTTGATTTTACGGACACCCTCCGCAAGTTCTCCTTGACGCTTTATATCTTCCGCGGTTAAATCATGGTTGTCTTCTTTGGCTTCCTCATCGTCTGCTTTGCCGAGGATGGAATCGTCGTCATCATCCTCGCTTTCCATGTCGTCGTCTTCCACGCTCTTGTTCTTCTTCTTCTTGTCCTTGGTCTCAGATTTGTCCCGGAAATTGAGGAATCCAACTGTACCGCCCGGTTTGAGCGGGCCGATACTGGAGAAGTCGGTTTGCAACGATCGTCGCTTCGCGGAAACAGGAGTCTCTTGAGACTTGGGATCTTTCAGAATTCCCATCTTCTGTAGTTGTCCTGATAGACAAATTAGTCAAACTTTCCGAGAAATCATAGCAACCCTCGAAACATACTCTCTCCTCGGTACATAAAAGTAAAAATCGCATATGGCTTGTCAGAAGGATCGATGCCTGTAACCGTTTGCGTGCTGATTGTCTTAGGATCCAGCGTCTTGGGCTTTGCAAAGCTTGTCGTGTGATCAATGTCCGCGTCGTTGCCCTGCCCGCTTTGATTATCTTCATCGTCGTCATGAGCATCAAATTGCGGCGAGTACTCTCCTCGTTTAATCTCCCCGGAGGCCAGTACCCGGAACAACGCAACTTTGATCTGTCCAGCAGACTCGGGGATCGGATCGTCATCGGAATCGGAATACGACATATCATCGTCGGAGACGTTCTCCAGCGGCGACTTCTCATCATTGCCATACCGCATGATCCCCTTGGCCCCCTTTGCTGACTTGGAGTCCGTCTCCATCTCACCGATTCCCTCGGTGGATTCACGCTTCAGCCGTCGTCTCTCCATCTTCTGCCGCCTTCGCTCAATCCGGGCAGCGACGTCCTTGCCTTCCAGATCCAGCCCGTTCAACCATCTCTCCAATCCGACCTCACGAAACAAAAACTCTCGCTCGGCAAGCCCACCTCCTTCGGACTCAGGCACGCTAACCCACCGTGAGTTGACCCAAGTCTCCTCCCCTCTCCGGAGCAATGTAGCGACCTCTTCCTTCTGCCGGCCATCAAAGTAAATATACGCCGCGACCGTTTCATTCGGCGAGTTGGTCAAGGGTTGGTATGGCGCAACGGCACTGGTGTACTGCCCGCGTTCGCTTGTCTGCCCGGGGAGGCCACCCACCACCTTAGGCTTCGGTGAGGGGTTGTCCGGTGTCGGTTTCGGCGTCGAGTACGGAACATCCTGGCCGGGATTCAGCAGTGTGATGGAAATGGCAAAGGTCGACTGTTCAGGTTTCCCGCTGGCGGAGTCTGGTAACTTGGGCGGCGGTACGGGGATGTAGCAAGCGATACGTGACGCCCGAGACTGGCGTTGAATGGAGTACTCGGGAATGGGGCCGTCCGGAGTGTGTATACTCACGGCCAGACCCTTGAAGCATGGCATGACGGGAGGGAGGAGGGGGGATGAGGGCAGAAGAAGGGAACCTCGTTACAGAGACCCGAGAGCCAGGACCAAGCCGACGAAGATCGGAATCTCAATGAGAATGAGTAGAGGGGGGGAAGAAAGTAAAAACCCAATAAGGAAAAAGAGATGGTTGGGAAGATCGTGCGTCTGTGAGCGATAGCTAGGATGTGGGCTGTGGAGGCGGTCAAGATAGTACGTAGCGTGTTTAGTTGGGCTCCTAAACACCGATCGCCCCGGAATGATCGAATCCTTATAAAGGAACAATGATTGTGACTCGAGCGGAATCTCCAGCTGACGGGGATGGATCGTCTAGTCAGTCGAGGTGAATGCTTGATCAAACATCAAAAGGTACCGACCCTCTGGAACTCAGCTAGGTCGCTGATGATCTACCCTGCTGCTGTCAGGGCTTGGTCCGTGTGCGGAGAAATGGCAGGAAGGGGCAGTGGAATGGCGTTCAAACATACCAAACACAACTTCATAGGAAGTATCGGTACCTATCAGGCGGTAGATGTGATACCGTCCAAATGATCACTGTACCAGCCACAGGAACATGTGATAATTTTGAGGAAAAAGTGACTTCGACAGGTGATGGACAGTGATCGAGGTTGGTGATGCGAGGTCCGCAGTGGAGGCACCCGATGACGATTGTCCGCTTGCTTTCCGTGGAACAGGTTCAAGTACCTGTCTATACCCACGAGAACCTCCAAGGAGCAAAAGACTGCAGCAAATAAAGGTACTGCAATGAGAATATGAGACTACCTTCAGGTGACAGGACTTTCAAATATTAGACTTGATTATGACTAGTTACATGGCCATGCTGTCATTGCTCGGAACTCTTGAAGTGGTCATCAGTCATCAACGTCTCATGCTTTGCTGCTGCGGTAGGTGAACCAGTTATTCCAAGAATTTGCCATATGTCCATATGGAGGTAGCCAGTTGTTGATCGATATCCACGAATCAGTCGCTGAGTCTGAAATCATTTGTACAGCCTGTAGGTAAGACAGGCCACTACATGACCAGCATATCATACCAACTTCTGCTGCAAGCAAGCAATTTCAAGAGCTACCGTCGAAACACGACTGCATCATGTATCGCAATCCATCCTGTTGCCGATACACGGTAGAGTTGCTTCGACTGCGGTTGGCTCCTCCCAGCGCTCAGGACCACCAGTTCTCGACCATCCAAACGAAACAAGAATCCCTAGGTCAAGTCAGTAGTCGGCTCCAAACTATAAGCACTTGGATGACACACTCTCCCGTGCTGATTCTGCGGTTGAATTGGGAACCACATCTCCGGATTCTCTAGCTCGGTCAACACCACCAGTTGAGGAAGACGAAGATGCTTCAGAAGAGCAAAGCCAGCCAGTTCGGCGTGTATCAGTTCATGGAACTTTTGTTCAAGATCTATTAGAACCCTCGCTGGAACGAAATGACGGATAACTGGAGTTAGAATCTCCCAAAGATCTGAGTATCCGAGTTCACGGGCAATTTCGACGGCCATCAGATCCTGATAACGGAACTCGCCTTTGGTTTTCTTAGTCGGCAGGGTTCCTAGTCTCATTGTCAACAGGTTTAGAATAGGTTATATAGAAACAAGATCATACTGAAAGCCCCTAGTCGAATAAGTTTCTCTACCACCTTCTTCGGCGCATTCATATACGCCGCCTGATGCAGAGGAGTCCATAGGCTCAGTCGGTGCGAATCATCTCCTGATCCTGTCCAGATTTTAGCACCTATCACTCAATGCAGACCGCGGAGTTGCATACTTAGAGTAAAAGCATTGCACCATGACTCGCCAAAGCGGCGTCTCCCTGTGTCCAGTGAAGACAACAATTGATGCCAATCTCCCCAATATGCTGCATCGGACAGCTGAGCTCTCTCTCTGAGATACGCCGGGTCCAATCCTGTCCTGGCGACGTTTCCAAGCCACAGAGTTGGCTTCGTTGAGTTGGAAGAAGGTTGACTTGGTATCACATTGGTGGACACTTGCTTTCCATCGTTGTGCGATCCACTGTGTGAGCCATGTCCCTTTTTCCCCTGCTCGGAGGAGTGTTTCCCGACCAACTCATTACCGTCTTGACCCAAATGCGCCGTGCCAAAGGCTTCAGTGATTTGTGCCCATTCTTCAGCACGGCCCTTCATCGTAATGATTTCTTTCTCAGTTACGACACTGGACTGACTGTCGCGCCCACGTCAGCTTCAGATACACTGGACCTTTTCTTAAGGACTCATACGCTGCAATGAAAGTCAGGACAAGGTTGAGGTCCTTCTCGCGGGCCTCGAGCTTCCCAACCAACGCGGTGACATCGGCCTTGTAGAACACCCAGCTGAACTTCATCCAGATCTCGGAGTGCTTCGAGGCATCCGCGATCTTGTGAACAAATCCCAGGATCTCATCGGCTGTCTGGCGGTACGCACTATCGTTGAACGATAAGGATATAGATTTTTCAACTGGGTTGGATAGCCGGC